AAAATCACGTAAGTCATAAGGAAGTGGATTTGGCAATATTTAGCAAAATTACATGTTACATATACATATATACATTACCCTGTGTCCTAACAATCTTACTTTTAGAAACTTATCCCAAAGATATACTAACATAAGTGTAAGATGATTTATGGTTAGGCTCTTGATTACAACACTATGTGTAAGAATAAAAGACAAGCTGCTAAATAAATTATGGTAGAGTCACACAATGGAGTACTATAACTTTAAAAAGACATGAGAAGAAGTCAGCACTTTGCTTCAGCATGACCCACAGAATATCATTAAACAAGAAGCAGAGCACACCATCTTTTATGTCAAGAAGAGTGGGAAATACAAGCATATCCATATTTGGTTATATTCTTTTAAAAGAGGAATAAAAGTGCAGAGGATCATAGGGGAAGGGAGGGAAAATGGAATGGGAAGAAATCAGAGAGGGAGACAAACCATGAGAAACTCTTGACTCTGGGAAACAAACTGAGGGTTGCTGGAGGGCAGGTGGGTGGGGCGATGGGGTAACTGGGTGACGGGCATTAAGGAGGCACGTGATGTGATGAGCACTGGGTGTTATATGCAACTAATGAATCATTGAACACTACATCAAAAACTAATGATGTACTATATGTCAGCTAATTGAATTTAAGTAAATAAAAATAGGAAAAAAAATTTACCTATCAGGGAAGAAGGCAAGAGGGTAGAAGGGACAGGGATGAAAGTTAGACTTCTCTGACTGTCCTTTGCCTGAGGTTTTGATTCTATAAACGTATGCACATTTTAAATAATTAATAAATTAAAAATTAAAAAATTCCTAAATATCTAGACTACGAAATCTAAAATTTAACTAATTAATCTAACCATATATTGATGGCTTACCCAGATAAGGAGCAATTATTTCAAGAGACTTTGAAACACAGGGTTTTAGCTCAGATTCACCAAGCAGATCTGAGACAAATATTTGAGTGCCAGGAACCCCAGTAGGCAAGTGGTGAAGTCGGACAGTTAGTGAAGGGTGTGTCATCAAGCCCGCCACCACTGTGGGCAAATGGAGCTTAATCAGATGAGAAACTATGGGAAATGATACAGAACGTGTATCAAATGTATCCCTCTTGAAAGGAAAGAAGTTTGGGCTAATTATATACCAACTCCCTCTCAGTCATTGACTGAGAACTCTTCTCAGAGGGTGTTAGATGCCCCATATTTTCAGTGTTCCATGTGCACAGACAACCTTCCATAAAAGCAACCTTCTGAAAAAGCTTTCAGGAGAAAACATGCATATACAGGCATTTGGAAGTAGTCCTGAGTGCACTGGAGTGGTCAAGCTCAAGGAATCTGGGTGTGCCTTGGAGAGTATACATTATACATAATAATTTGTATCTATATCCCCAATGAAACGTATCTTAAGAACAAGGAGAACCATGAAGAAATCCAAAACTCTATTCAGTGATTTGGTAATAATATTTGGTGTTGGTGTTTATAAGTATTATATATGTGTTGTAGGTTAAAGCAAATAAATATGTTGGTGTCCTTAGGAACTGGAATTTTCAGCATGAGAGAAAGATACAGGGCAGAAACAAAGATGTTAAGTTTAACAACTGCATTCTTTTTTCTTTTTTTTTTTAAGATTTTATTTATTTATTTGAGAGAGAGCGAGAGAGCACACGTGTGCACTCAAGCAGGGGCTAGGGGTAGAGGGAGAAACAGACTCCTGGCCAAGCAAGGAGCCTGATGCAGGACTCGATCCCAGAACCCTGGGATCATGACCTGAGCTGAAGGCAGGCACTTAACCAACTGAGCCACCCAAGTGCCCTAAAAACTGCATTCTTAAAACTGGATTATAACTATCAGTATTAACCTGTTTAATTGTCTCCCTCCTTAAAAAATACTTACTTCATAGCCCTGTCCCCCAAAAAGGACCTGGAAGCAGTGACAACCTAGTAGTAATGAGCACCACTAAAACACAGATTATGGTCTCTTAATAGCACTTCCACAAAAAACAACCAGGGCTGCATAGGGCAATGACGGATTCCGGATCTTGGACAGGAAATGTGCAAAATGAGCACGGAATATTTTATTGTGTGAAAAGCAAGGAAGCTATCAATGTTTACTGAAATTATATAAAAAAAAACTCAGGAACCAATTTCAAGGAGGCTTCCACTGGCTAAAGATGAGATGATTTGAGCATTAAAAAGTATAAAAATAAAAATAGATTGACATCTATCAATCCATGTTAAAAACCATGATTTTATAATGATACAAAAATAAAAACTTCATTGGTCACCTCTGGGGGCTACTAAGGCACCAACTCATTGTTCTAAAATCTAAAGGAGAGTAAGCAAAGGCATTTTTACCCTGCCTTTCCTTTATGAACTGTATGTCAAAATAACCAAAAATAGTTGGAAGGAAAAAATAATTTCAACTGATACAGACAGAAGGAATAGTAACATTAGTAGTCACCAGTGTATAACCCCTGGTGGAATGATGGGTCTAGACATTTTTATCTACATTTGTTAAAGATTTGAGCTAAAGGCTGGTAGAGAACTTCACAGCAGATAGATCAAGCTGACAACACCCAAAGCCAATAGTCAATCTGAACACCATAAAAAGAAATAGCTAGATATTACATGCCTCCTAATGTAATGCATTAGGAAGTTGTTGGCAACACCTATGAAGTATTCTTGCCAAAATTATGAACCTTGTTCTAATCAACTAGATCCTTTAGATCCAACTGCAGTCAATATAGGGGAAAGAAGATCATTTCAAACGATACAACAGGAATATATGCAAGAATATGGAAAATTCTGCAGGTTTTTCCAGCAGACTTGGGTTTTTTCAACAAATAAATATTAAGAAAAATAAGAGGAAAGGGAAACTCTTTTAGAAAAGGACATGTAAAAGAAATAGCAAGGGGTGCCTGGCTACCTCAGTCAGTAAAACATTCAACTCTTGATCTCAAGGTGCTGAGTTCAAGCCCCACATTGGGCAGGGAGCCTACTTAAAAAAAAAAAAAAAGACATAGCAACAAAATGTAATAATGGATCTTGTTTACATCCTTATTCAAACAAACCAATTATAAAATATTTATGAGACAAGCAGGAAAATTTGAATACTGACAAGTATTAGATAATATTAAAAGAACTATTATTAAATTTTAAGTATGATAATGAGATTTTGATTATGTTTAAAAATAATTTTTTTAAGAGAAGAGAGAGAGAGAGCACAAGCGGGGGACAGTGGGCAGAGGGAGAGGGAGAGAGAATCTTAAGCAGGCTTGACACCCAGCACGGAGCCCAACGTGGGGCTCGATCTCACAACCCTCAGATCATGACCTGAGTCGAAATCAAGAGTTGGATGTTTAACCAGCTGAGTCACCCAGGCACCCCTTGATTATGTTTAAAAAATAATTCTTAATTCTTAAGTATACATGCTGAGGTAGTTGTGAATGAAATGACAGTGTCTAGTTTTGCTTCAGAATAACGCAGTGGATGGGAGAAGTATAAATGAAACATTGGTTGATAATTGTTAAAGTCCCAGGATGAGTACTTTGTATTTTTCTTTTGAGAGAGAGAGCAAGCATGTGTGAGCAGCGGGGTAAGGTGGGGGTGGGGAGAAGAGAATCTTAAGCAGGTTTCACGTTCAGCATGGAGCCTGGACTTAGGGCTTGACCTCATGACCCTGAGATCATGACCTGAGCCAAAATCAAGAGTTGGACCCTTAACTGACTGAGCCACCCAGGCACCCATGTACTTTGTATTTTTAAGGTGTGTTATAAACGTTTTTTTTTTTAACCCAAGCCTGTATACTCCCTGAAAAGTCTTTGTGCACTCCTGGGGGTTCATGTACCCTAAACTGAAGTTCACTACAGTATTTAGCAGTATCAAACAATCTGGGAGGAGTTATACCTATCTGGCAGAAAGTTTAGGGATGAATTTGTTATAGGCTCATTAAAACTAAGCAAATAAAAAGAATAAGACAATTAGGGGCACCTGGCTGGCTCGGTCAAAAGAGCATGCGACTCTTGATCTCAGGGTCATGACTTCAAGCCCCACATTGGGTGTAGATATTACTTAAATAAATAAAAACTTTAAAAAGAGAGAGAGACAATTAAAAACTGGGGGGGAAGCTATACAAGAAAGGAAATATAATCATGATATATTACGGGGCCCAGTTGTGAACAATGCTCCTTTGGTCATAATAATATAAATGATGAATACTGATAAAAGATTTTGATGTGTCTATGATAAGAGGATGTAAGGAAAGGAAGTGTGAATGACAGGTGGCAGGAGATGTGAGAGCTAAACCATCATCTTCCATAGTAGTAGGTATATTCATAATATATAAAACTGAAAAAAAGAGAAATAACTGTATAAGCATCTTATTTAGAAACACAGAGAGAGGGCACCTGGGTAGCTCAGTTGGTTAAGCATCCAACTCTTGATTTCAGCTCAGGTCATGATCTCAGGGTCGTGGGATCAAACTCCGTGTCAGGCTTCGTGCTGACTGTGGAGCCTGCTTGACATTCTCTCCTTCTCCCTCTGCCCCTCCCTGCTCAACACAGAGAGAATCAAAAGAATTGATTCCAAAGAATCAGCTATAATAGTTAAAAGTGGTTGGCCTGTAATTTTTTTTCTAGAAGAGGAAGCAAGAGGATCTGATGTTTTTAGTTCTCTACCTTATATGATTTTTTGGACAATGTACTTCAGGAAGGAGGGGAGAGAGGGAGGGAAATGACAAAATCTGATCTGTATTTTAACATGATCACCAAGGTCTGTCGAGTGCATGTGGCAAGGATCGAGGCGCGGTCAGTGAGGCCAGTTGGCAAAGCTATTACAGTAAGAAGTGTCATAATAAAAATTACACAGAGGAGAAAACTGGAGATGAGAGATTGAGGTGAGTCTAGCTGGGCGAACCATAACGGCGGGTATCACACTAGAAAGTAACTTGCCATCTTTATATTTCTCTCTTCCCTCTCAACTTTGCCTTGACGGAAGCTAAGCCCTCTCTTCCAGAGGTTTCTGGCCCCTCCAACAGGATCAGCCCAGGCCAGACAGTGAATCTCACCTGCACATCAACTGGCTTCTTTCCCAAAAGCATACACCTGAAATGGCTTGAAAATGATGTGGAGCTTCCGGCATTTCAGACCCTGGTCTTCCTGCCTAGAGATGCTGGATCCTACACCATCGTCAGCACGGTGCTGGTGACCCTTGACTTATCCTCACTCCACTCCCAGCTCACCTGCCAAGTGGCTCACAATACATTGCAGAGCCCCCTCAGTAGGCACGTGAACATCTCCAAATTCCTCCAAGGTAAGGGCCCCCACCTCCCACCCAAATGGCCAACCCTTGGTGACCACCACCAGTTCCCTGTTTGGAGCGCTTCACCTGCGTCCTCCCATTATTCTTCACCAAACCCCACATAAGATGGGTACAAGGTCCCCTATCTTATCCGACCATCCTCTTCTTACACGATGCCATGGTCGGGTCCTTCTCCTTCAGAGCTCTTTTCACTTTCTTGTATTTGGGGGGTGGAAGCTCATTCATTCATTCAGCAAGTTTATTGAGCATCTGCGATGTGGCAGTATCATTCTACGTGCTGCGGAGTCTGTGGTAAACAGACCAGACCTAGTTCTACTCCACTAAACTCACAGTCACATAAGCCCCATCAACAAGATGCAAAAACTATATACAGTTCTAACTTTTTTTTTAAGATTTATTTATTTGAGGGAGAGAGTGCTGGGAGGAGGAGCAGAGGGAGAGGGAGAGAGAGATCCCAAGCAGACTCCCCACTGGGCACGGAGCCCAGTGCAGGGCTCAATCTCACAACCCTGAGGTCATGACCTGAGCCAAAACCAAGAGTCGGATGCCTAACCGACTGAGCCACCTAGGCACCCCACACGCTTCTAACTTATAACATGTGCTATGAGAGAAAAGAACTGAGTATTAAAATAGATGAAAACAGGAGAAATATAATATACTGAGGAAATGCCTTTTTGGAGAAGTGATGTTTGAATCACAGCATGAAAGATGAAAGGGGTCAGCCAAGGAAAAAGTGGAGTGTTCCAGGCAGAAGAAACAGCGGTGCAAAGGCCCTGTGACGGGGGTGGGGAGCGAGACATGTTTGAACAGTAGAGAGGAGGAAGAGGTCCATGTGGTCAGGGCTTAGTGAGAAGAAGGGTGCATGGAGAAGGCGGAGGCTGGAGAGAGAGGAGCAGGAGCAAGACCACACAGGGCTTCAAGCCACAAGAAAGAAGTTGCTCCCTCTTGCACTGTCTACGTGAACTCTTAACACCATTGTGCAAGCCACCACGCTTTGCTGCCAGTCATTGCATTTGAAACACACTTCTTAAACCCACCCCCACATCAGGGGAGGGGACAACGCAGGGGACAATGCAAGACTACACCCCTGCCCCCCTTGCTCTCCTCATAAGGATGAGGCCATTACTGCAGTGTTCAATATGGAAGGAAAGTAAAGGAAGGAAATCACCCTTTCTGCTCTGGAAGTCCACAGCCTGGCCTGGGCAAGGGTGTCCCGAAGGTGTTTGCACTCTCCTCAGCCACCACCCCCCAGCAACCTCAGAGGGCAGAGACCCACTCACTTCCTACAAATGGGCACATCCTTTCCAGGGCTCCAGAGCCCCAGTGCTCCTTCTCCGTCTGCTCCAGCCAGAGCAAATCAAAGAGAAAACCCATTAACAGCATCACAGTCTCCACAACCCCCCTCACCACTGGAGATAATTTGTGGTACCAAGGTAAAGAGTTTAGCTCATCATTTTGGAAATGCCTCCCTCCCTAAATAGTAGTCTGCCCTTGCTTAGCCAAAAGATACCACAAGAGGGTTCCAGCTTGGAAACGGAATTCTAGACTCCACCTAGAGTATCCCAAAAAAGCTATGTGTCCCTGCTTCATGCAGATGAGGAAATCAAGGCTCAGAGAAATGAAATGACTTGTCCAAGGTCACATGGCTCTTAAGTTTGTGAGCTGGAATTTGAACCCAGTAATACACCTCTTGGATGATCATGTCAGACCTCCCTCCTGTAAGAAGTCCCCATGCAGAGATACCAAAGCAAGGCAGTCCCCCTTCCCCAGGGAAGGTGCTTTGGTCATGGTCAGCTAAGAGATGGGCATTGTGCTGCTCTTTGCACTCTCTCCAAACCTCTGGCTCCTCCTCCTTCCCCATACCAATGAAGAGACACTCCATCAACCCCAATCATCCAAGCCAGAGACCTGTTTTACCCAACCCACCACCAAGTTCTACCAAATTCACTTCTCACGTCTCTCTCTGAACCCATCCATTTCTTTCTACTGTCACTGACCAGGTTCATCCCCAAGTTCAAGGCAACCTGGACACCACAGCCACCTTCTCTCATATCCACCATTACCCTCAACAGTGCAGCCCCTAAATCCCCAGCAGTCAAAGACATTTTATAAAGGAAGCCAAGTCTTGTCGCTCCTTTCCTTAAAACCCTTCGGTGGCTCACCACTCCTTTTACAAAAATATAACAAAATAAAATCCTTATCAGGGCGTTCAACAGCAATCTTCAAACATTTTTATTCACATACCCCTGAGGTAATTGTGAAGAACTATGTAGTTCCTCATATATTTTAAAGTTAACATCCAGAATTGTTCATCACAGACTTAAGTAGTTGCACGGGCCAGAAAACCCTGGGATTTTACAAATGTTACATCTCTCTGAAATGTTCAACGGAAAAATAAAGCCATACGGATTTGATTTCCACCATCATCCATTACAACAGACATAAACAAGCTCTTCTTTGATAATCAGAAATTTTATAACATTCCTTTTTCTTCCTAAATTTGTATTTCCATTCTAATTCCTGGGGAGAACTTTACCCCACTGTAAATATATTTTATATTTGAAAGTCCTTATTGACCACATCATCACACATATCATAGAGAACTCTGAGAAAACAGAGGACTACCATAAATATATATATGTATTGAATTTTATATATAACAAATTACATATAACTTATTATGTATAACATTCATTATATATATAAATTGAATTTTTAAAACTTTTTCTTATGACCATAGGCTCTAAGTGTTAAAAAATTCTTTTGGATTGAATTACACAATTGATCAAAACAATCTAAATATCCAACAAATTGTGATAAACAATTATTAAAATAACCATTAAAATGTTATCAGAAACGCAGCTCAGTGAGCTAGATGGGGGAGATTATGATGCTTTGATTAAAGTAGGCTTTCCGGCCCGCAGGATTTTTGAATTGTCCTTTTGTTTTGTGTCCCAGAGTCTTTACACCAAGGGCACTGCCCCATAGCTAGATTCGGATGTGTGGGAGGAAGGCCTTCCCTCTGTAATGTTGGGAGAAGGCCCGAGGAAGAGGAGACAGGAGTAGGCATTCTCAGGCAGATCAATTTCAGGAAAGAATCATATGAGGGCTCAGGACCTGGAAATTAATTATATTAAACTACCAATGTATGGACTCCTTAGGATGTCGTTATGTGCCCTCAGGGGTAAGTATAGCACCAGTAAACGCAGACAGTCTTTATGGTCACTGGTCATCTTGCCCATGCTCCCCCTCACTCACTCTGATCATTTTTCTGTCCTTGGACACGCTAGGCTTCACCTCAAGGCCTCTGCCCATGCCCTACCCTCTGCCTGAGATGCACTTTCCCATACCTCCCCTCGCCCAGAGCCTGCCTTCCTCTGGCCCTCCAGCAGCCCCTTTGCCTAAGGTTCCAGTTACCAGGACTGCATAACAAATTTTCCCCAAACATATTCCAATGCTCTAAACTTACTCCAAATCTCCCAAATTATGATGCTCACATATTCTGTAGGGCAGGAATTTGGAGAGGGCCTGGCAGGGATGGCCTATCTCTGCCCCATGATGTCTGGGACCTCACCTGAATGACTCCACAGCTGAGATTATCACAAAGCTGCCTCACTAACATGTCTGGCCATTGGTGCTGGCTATGGGTGAGGGGCTTCAGTTCTTCCTGGCATCGGCCTCTCCTGATTATCTTTCCACACAGGCTAGTTAGAGCATCCTTGTAGCTTGATGGCTCTGTTCCAAAAGTGAATGTCCCAAGAGTCCCAAGGGGAAGTCACATCAACTTTGATGACCAACCCTTGGAAGTTACAGTGTCACCTCTGCTATACTCTCTTCTTCAGGCAGTCACAAAGTCCCACCCAGGGTCCAGGGCAGAAGTAGACTCGCCTTCCAGTGGGGAGTGGCAAGGTTCCGGAAGACACCTGGGAATTTGCTGTGGCCATTTTTGGAAAATACAATTTGCCACACATAGTTAACTCCTATTCGTTTTTCATACTTCTGCTGAAAGGTCACTTCTTCCAGAAACTCTTCCCTAACCTGCCCCACCTCCAGACCTGGTCAGGTACCCCCGTGTAGGTTCTCAGAACCCCTCCGAGGCTCACGTGACTGCTTTTCTTCTTCCCTGTTCTCCCCACCAGAGCAGGAGCTCGGTGTGTGTCTGTCTTACTTACTGCTGTAGCTCAAGAACCAAGGGCAGTGCCTAGAAAGGTAAGGATGCTCCTTGAACTTCAACAAAGGAAGGGCTATTGTTTCAGTTATACCCACAGTGACTGTTTCATCCCACCGAGTCCCAAGCCTCCAGTTGGCCATCCTCACCTGCTACGTGCAAAGGTTCTACCCTGAAGTCATACAAATCACCTGGCTGGAGGTGAACAGACGCTTTAAGGCCTGTGAGCCTCCCACCCCCACCAAGAACCCAGATGGCACATTCAGCCAAGACAATCATATCCTGGTTCACACCTCAGAGGACAAAGCGCTGTTCACCTGCGAAGTGTGGCAAGAGGCCCAGCCACTGATCCAGGCCCACGTGCGGCTGAGTGAGTCCAGAGGCCAGCCAGCGTGTTTGGGTGAGTAGGGGTGGAATAACCCAGCAGCTCAAGGTTCAGACCTGGACACAGACAGGCCAGGTTCACACGCTGGCTCTGCCATGTTTGTCATGTGTGAACTTGAGGAAGTCACTTCACCTTTTGGTACCTCAGTTCCTTCATCTATAAAATGGGACAGCAGTTAGAGCAACCTCTGCAGAGTGTGCTGCCTTAGGGACCAAAGAGCTGTAAGCACCACTTTCGTCACACAGCGGGATCCTGACCATGCAGCCACGGCACCGGCTCGTCCAGTGAATAAGTTCATACGAATTATCGTCCCCCTTTTCCACCCACCCTCTCAAAAGCCATTCAGATTCAACAATTACTGAGTGCCTATTAGGTATTCTGTTTGGTGTTCTCCTTTGATACAGGAACGTTCTAAGGTATACGTTATCATCCCCATTTTAAAGACTAGGAAACAGCTTAGAGAGGTGAGGGGATTCCCTCTTAGTCCAAGGGTGTAGTCTTGGTACCTGAGTCAGGGGTGAGGCTGGGCCTGCCCAGGGGTTGAGTGGTGGGCACCAGAAGCTGCGTTCATCCTAGTATCTTTCCAGATGCCAGGGCGTCCAGCTCCCTCTCTGGGACCCTCATCCTGCTTGGCTGGAAGTTGTTTCCCTTGACTGCACTTTGCATCATCTATGTCCTCAAGAGGAGATTCCCTTCCAAGTAAGGGGGACCTCAGATAGGGGTTGGGCTTCCTGGGGGCCAGGAGACTCCGGGCCAACAGGTGGCACTGTGAGGAGAAGCCACACAGCACTCCCATTTCTTTCTTTCTTTCTTTCTTTTTTAAGATTTTATTTATTTATTTGACAGAGAGAGCACAGGGAGAGGGAGAAGCAGGCTCCCTGCTGAGCAGGGAGCCCAATCCGGGGCTAGATCCCAGAACCCTGGGATCATGACTCGAGCCGAAGGCAGCTGCTTAACCAACTGAGCCACCCAGGGGCCCCATCAGCACTCCCATTTCACACTGACCCTGAAGGCATGTGGAATCCAGAGCGTCCCTATAAGAGCCACACCCCAATCCCTTCAAACCTCCCCCTCTGCCCCTCACAGCTCCAGTCTGAAGGTCCACAAAGATGCAGGCTCCCCTGGTCTGGGCAGGGGGAGCACCGAAGGAGGGGGAGTTAATATGAAGACAACACTTTTGAGGGGGTCTGTGAGGAGAAGTCTGAGAACAAGGGCTTTGCCCCAGCTCCCTGCTTCCCCTGCAGGTCACAGGTGCCACAAGGCCCTCCTCAGGGACACAGGGCCCTCAGTCCCCTCCTGTTTTATTTAGGAGGACTGATGCAGGAGAGGCACTGGCCATGAAGTCTGCAACCACTACCAAAGCTTCTCATGCCTCACCAGCCTTCTGAGACCTGTCCTGCGGGCTGTCTCTCACTGTCTCCTGCAGGCCCCAGAGAAAGTGAGAGCCTGGACCGGGAGGGTCAGTAGTGAGAGGAAGGCTCTCACATCCTATGAAGGAAAGAAGCTTTTCCGGGGATTCTGGGCATGAAGTTCATGACCCTGAGCAAGAAACCCAGCAGAGGCAAAACAAGCTCCTACCCAGGGAGAAACACAAACCTGCAATTCTGAAGGCCCCTCCCCAACTCCTCAAGGAAAGCCCATGGTGGACACCCAAACTGGCATGAAACCTTTACAGCTCCGTCATTAAAATGGGATTAAAAGACACAGATCTGTACTTCTGAAACAAATAACGCAACATATTTTAAGAAAAAAGAAAAAGAAGAAGATAACAGGAGAGGAAGAATGAAGGGGAGTAAGTCAGAGGGGGAGACGAACCATGAGAGACGATGGACTCTGAAAAACAAACTGAGGGTTCTAGAGGGGAGGAGGGTAGGGGGATGGGTTAGCCTGGTGACGGGTATTAAAGAGGGCACGTACAGCGTGGAGCACTGGGTGTTATGAACAAACAATGAATCATGGAACACTACATCAAAAACTAATGATGTAATATATGGTGATTAATATAACAATAAAAAAAATTTTTTAAATGGGATTAAAAGAAACATTTATGGCCAATAAACATATGAAGAGATGTCCAATCTCATTAGTAATCAGGAAAAGCCAAAGCAAAACCATTTTCTCCCTATTCCAGGATAAAAAATAAAGAAGCAACTGGCTCCTTCTTATGTTGCTGATACGTATGTAAATCAGCACAACTACTTTGGAAAACAGTTTGGAAAATCTGAACTTGGACATTTGCATTCTCGATAACCTGCTATTTCCACCTTTGAGTTATATACATACCCTAAAGAAACTCTTCACCTGTGCTCCAGGAGATGAATATTCAAGTATATACATGGTAGCATGGTTTCAAATTAGAAAAACCTGAGAGAACCATCCAAATGCAAATCCACAGGATGGAGGGCAAATAATGTAGTACAATCCCAGAATGGAATGTTATACACTAATAAAAATGAATGAACTATAGCTACACACAATAATATGGATAAATCTTAGCGAAAGAATATTAGGAGCGAGTAAGCCCCAAAAGATTTCATACAGCATGATACTATGTTTATAAAGCTAAAAACATCTAACAAATGGTTTTTAGGGATACATATAAAAATGATAAACCCATATTTTTTCCAAAAGGATGAACTCAAGATTTTAAATAGTAGTTACCTGAGGTGGGGGCAGGGAAAGGGATGAGAAGGGTGGGTGTATGTATATGTAGATGGAAGTTAATGTCAGGATTCTAGCTTCCGTGCTGGGTGGTGGCTTCATGAATGTTTATATCATTATAAATTAAAAATAGAAAAACAATATAAGATTGATAAATAGGTATGTCAATAGATAGGTAGATAGACGGGCAGGTTATTGGAAAGAAGGAAGGGAGGGAGGGAGGATGGATGGATGGATGGATGGATGGACGGATGAATGGATAAGTAGATTAATAAAAGAGGGTCATTAATGGATCAATGATAAGGGTGTGATGAAGCAAGAATTGTGATAGGTACAATTCTACGTACTTAAGATCCAAAGGAAAAATAAATAGAAGGACAATACCTAAAGAACCCCAAGTTCCCTTCCTATTATGACATTTACAAATCCACATTAGGAGGAAAGCATAGTTGATGGGTGTCACCACGGGTCCAGCACTTCGCAAGCAGGATCTTACTTCATCCTCATACAAATCCCACAAGGTGGGCACCATTCCCCACTTTGCGGTGAGGAATCTAAAGGAACCTACTCAGTGTTACTCAGATCACAAGTGGTGAAATCAAAAAATCCAGATTCAAACCCAGCTCTGCTCAGTGCTTTCCAGGGAGCCACACTGCCTACTGTCTGTGGACAGATGGGGAGACCTTGACTTGCCCTCATTCTACTGCTTCCCAATGTCTCAGGCCAGCTGTTCTACACGAAAGCCCACCCTGTGCCTCCGAGTTGGGAGCAGAAGGGAAGAACACGAACACTTTTCCAGTCGTGGAGGAGACCTAGGATTAGTCCTGAGCCCCAAAATAGCCCTGATAAAGATCCGGGGGAGGTAGTGTAGGCCAAGTTCTGGAGAAAGGCTCTCTGCTGAAGGATAAATATGTTCAGTGGAAACAGGCATCCTACTGTGTCTGTTTCACTGTGGCCTTGAACCTTTGTAGTCACAAAGACAGGGGTGCTGAGCCCAACCTCCATTCCCCCCTCAGACATGAGTCTCCTCTTCAACATTTTCTACTCCCAGTAGAGCGGCTTGCACTTCAACATTCCCATCCCCGGCCTCCCATGCTGGGAGCCTTGGGGTGCCCTGGCCTCCCTCCCCCACCCCCCACCCCAGAAGCAGGGCCAGGAGCAGGTTGAGGCCAGCAAAGGGCCTAGGGAGCAAAATGTAGAGAGACACTCTCTCTGGGTTGAGCAAGGACAGCAAGGACTTGCCACGTCATATTTCGTGTCCTAGATGCCCTAGGTGTCCAAGTGCCATGACTTCTGCTCCCTCCTGTTCATCTTCATGGTTGCTCAAATCCTGATCGGCATGTACCTTGATCACGCTAATAGCCACCTCACGATTCTCACTCTGGAGTTCTCTGAGCCATACACCCTACACAGACCTCAGAATGGTCTTTTCCAAACATTGGCTCAACTACACTTCAATTTAAAAAAAAATACATTAAAAAAAACCTTCAGATAGTTCCTCAGTCCCTAAGTCATACCTCGAGAAGGTGATAGCAACTACCCCAGGTGTCCCATACCTTGGTACCAGAGGGAAAATGAAGCAGTCATAAGAGTCCCAGCTTGGACATGAAGATGCCTCATCCCTTTGGGAGAAAGCTCATGTCCTGAGCAAGCGCATAGCTTCCACACAAATAATGGCTCATTGCAAGGAAGGTAAGGCCTTCATTTATTCTGCAAATATTACTGAGTTTATACTATGTAACAGGCACTGTTTCGACACCGAGGAAACTCTGGTAGACACTGGTAAGGATGGTTCTTACCTTGTGGAGTTTACAGTCTGATGAGTACAAATACAAAAGAAAGGAGAGAGGGAAGAAGACAGGGAGGGAGGGAGGGAAGAAGAAAGTGATACATGTGCTGAAGAAAATAAAAGGGTACACAAGATACTGCAGATTGCAATGACAGCTATCTAGAGAAAGCCTTTCGGAAAAGGGAGTATTTGAGCTGCTATCTGAAAGTTGCAAGAGCCTGGGGAAAGACACTCCTGTTACGGGAACCCATTGCGCCAAGACCTAAGGTGTGAAGGAATCTGGAACCTTCAAGGAAGAGGAAGGGGGCCAGTGGGGCTGGCATTGGAGAGTAGTGGGACGTGGAAAAATGCCAAAGAGATGGACGGGAGACGATCAGATCAGGGGTCCCCCAGTCTCTCCTTCCCCAGTAGCATCTAAGTTGCTTCTATGACATCGATCTCTTGCAGGCATATGCTAGCACGTCCATCACCCTGTGCTGCCTTTAACTACAGATCCACACAAGTGGCGCTAGAATTAACTTCTTCCTGATCTTGGGGCTTCCCTACATCCGCTCACCTTCAACTTTGCCCACAATCCTCCTAAACACATTGGAAGATCTGGCTACCCTGGGACCCCAGGAAACTCTGCAGGGCTGTCTCGGGTCCTCTCCACCCAGGCAGAGCACATATCCAGATCTGCTCTTTTGCCAGGCCAGACCGGGGGCAGGAGCTCCACCAGCCGTGTCACCAAGAAGGAACGCATTAGTCCTGACTCTCCAATCCCTCCAAATTGGAGCTGGGTTTTGCAGAAGGAGCAAGTTGCAGGACCTCCTCAGGGCCCCACCAGTGTTGGTTCCCTCCAGCTCCCCTCCGCTCCCCCACAGGTGGGGCAATATTGCCTTAGTCTCAGAAGTGTGTGTAAGGAGATGGGCGAGCGGCTTGTGGGGTTGGGGGCGGGGGTAAGGAAGGAGAGACTGCCTCTGCAGGAAACTGTTTTTCCAAACTTCCGCATCTTTCATCTGGAGCTCAGCCTCTGAAACTCAAAGATGCATTTATACTCTATTTCTGCAGTGACAGTCTCCCTTGAGATAGATGCATTACATTTGTCTGCTCCCTAACTTGGCCACGATAAAGCACAGGACACTGAGAGAAAGGCATGGGTAAAAACTGGGCTGCAGAGCTCTGCAGTGACACCAACAGGCACATTTTATAACTACATGTCAGAAGCGTTAACTCTGCCTTAAAATGTATCCAGAAACCGACAACATCT